TAGCTATGTCGCAATATGTTTGTCTTGCACGCTATTGGCTGAGGCAATCGACCGACGACGACTCTTGTTCTATAGTTAGTTTCTTGTATTGCTCTCGGTTCTGCGTGAGCGGAGACGAGCTGTGATGGTGCAATCTGCAGTCATATGCTTTGCCGGTGTTTTAGGATTTAGTTGAGTGTGTTTTGTAGTTAGTAGATTTTGCTATGTTTATAATGTAGCTAGGGAATCATTATGTTAGGATATAGGATAGTCAGGGATTTATTGTGTATTAATGTTTACTAATTATTCTGTATTTTATTTAGTTATTTAATCCCGGAATCTATCAATATTTGAAATCAAACTCAGACTCTGACACAAACCCAGTGCTCAGTGTGTTAATCACAAACTCATACAAACTCTGTGCGTGTATTATTGAAATTCAAACTTTAGTTGAGCCACAAACTCTATGTGCATTGTGAATGTTATTGCCGTATTCTGTCGTGATTTCAAGCGGAATATTACAACAAAGTTCTTTCAATTCGTGTGATCTTCTGAGGTGTTGGGTTCAAAAGTTCAAGACTGTGAGTGGGGACTTAATGTTACGAGTTTGCATTGCAAATTGTAGGAGAACCGGGACGTGGTACTTGACAGTGGTTGGGTATAAACGTAGCGCAGTTTGAGTCTCCAATTCCGGGCGTTACACAATTTCAAATAAAGATTCGTCTCCTACGTTTTACGTAGAGAATTTCAAATACATAGTTATTCTACAATTTCGAAGAATAATTGCATTCTATCGTGGACAATTTCATAACGGAATAAAGCTATTCATATTGCGAGATGTCTGATGAAGATGGTATTGTTTCTGAACTGCGAATGAAAAAGAAAAGATCTCGTGCGGGATATGAAAGCCACTTTACAAAGCTTCTGAAAACCATTGAGGATCTAATGCTGGACCCACAGAAATACAAAGAGGTTGTGGGTGCAAAAGAAGCTGTGGATGCTGCATTTGAGAACTGTATTAATGCTTGTGAAGACTTTCGAAATTCTGTCAATACCGGTCTGGAGATGGACAAGCTTGAGTTTGAAGAAGCGACTGTAAAGTGTGATGAAATTTTCAGAAAGAAAGCGGTATGTGATAAATTATATGGTGAATATTTGCAGCGATACAATGCTGCCGCCAGCAAAAATAACTCTGTGTCTAGTAAATCAAGAAAAACAAGTGTTGCTTCTCATAGAAGTAAATCTTCAAATAAATCATCTGTGAGATCATCAGTAGCTGCCAGAGCTCGTTTGGATGCCAAGCTAGCTGATCTTCAAGCTAAACGTGAACGTGAACAAGCTACTTTGGAAAAGGAGAAATTGAACATTGAAAAAAGAGCTTTGGATGCGGAATATCTTGCAGATGAAGCGAAATTGATAGCTGAGAGTTTCGAAGAAACTGAAGGATCTATCATGAGTTCTAATTTGGATAGCAATCAATTGGAGTATACAAGTTGTGCCTCTGAAAACTTGGTCAGTGGGATAGAGCCATTGACAAAACCTAAATTTGTGAACATTTATGATCCTAAATCTAATGTGCCTTTTGTAAAGACTGAACCCTCATCATTTGAGTTGCAGCCGATTCCTGAAAGAAAAATAGAGAACATTCCTATATCAAGTCCTGCTGTGGTTTCCCCTGTAAAGACAAACTTTTCTGATGTTCGTGTGCCATTGATGACGTCAACATTGACTAATGCTATAAACATGTCTAATCCTGGACTGCAGAGATCGTCCGAAGTTCCTGTCACATCGTTTGTACAATCTGGACATTGTGTTTACAATCCGGTAATGAGTGGCATGCCGGTGTCGAGTTATGCCCCGGCCACAGGTGGTGTGTCGGTGGCGAGCCAATTCCCAGTCACGAGTGGCGTGTCTGGAATGGGTGAATATCATCGTGTGAGCAGTGTTCCTGTCCAGAATGTCTACGGTTCGAGTGTAGCAGTGACATCTTTGAGCTCTCCTGCAATTCCTGTGTATCCGGTGGTTCCTACATGTCCAGCATCAATGGGTGAACATCTGAAAGTTGATCTACCTGAGTTCGATGGTGATCCACTGAGGTATCCAGAGTTTCTGAGTGAATTTACAGCAGCAGTGGATGTGGAAAATATTCCAGCAAATCGTAAGCTTATTATTCTTTTAAAATGTACGAAGGGCATTGCCAGAGAGGCAATTCGGTCATGTGTAATTACTAAACCATGGGAAAGGGGTTACAAGCGGGCCCTAGACATTCTCAATGAGAGGTTTGGCAAAAAACATATGATTATAGATTCCTTTATGAAAGAATTGATTGAAGGAAAACCTCTTCGTGATAATAACTCTGCTGACTTGCATAAGTTAGTAACATTAATGGATAATTGTGAGATTGTTTTTGACCAATGGGATTGTATGGATAATCTTAATAATAGTGTTAATTTGAAAAAGATTTTTTCCAGGTTGCCTGAAGATTTGCAGTCTGGCTATGCTAAGATTGCAAGCGGCATTTATGAGGTGGGGAGGGAACCAATGTTTTCCGATTTAAAGGATTATGTTATGCAAATTGCTCGTGGTGCTTCTACCATGTATGGGGAGATTGTCTGTTCGAATAGGGAACAGAAAAAGTCGAGAAGTCCTAAACGAGGGACTGTTCCCAAGACTAGGGATAGGGTGTCCTCCTTTGTGACCGATTCCAATGCTATACCTAGTAGGGGGGCCATTGCAAAGTTTGATTGTCCTTTTTGTGGGTCAGGTAATCAACATCCATTATGGAAATGCCTGAAGTTTAAGAAAATGACTCCTAAAGAAAGATCATTGTGGGTGGGCAGAAATGAATTGTGTTATAATTGCCTTTTGAGTGGTCACAAAGCAAATGAGTGTACCCGCAATGTGTTATGCAATGTTGATGGATGTGGCAAAAAGCACAATGTGCTGCTGCATTTCCCACCTCGGCAAAAGCCGGGTGGTTCTACTAATCCTGTAAGTTCTTGTTCAGGAAAAGAGACGAGTGCTCCGGTCAGTGGGGCCGGTGAGAAAGCTACATGTGGAGCAACTTCCTGTAGCGTGGAGGCTACGGGAGGGGTTGGGAATGTTAGACTCAAAGTGTTGCCAGTCACGGTCAGGGGTAAGGCCATAGGAGGTAGGGAGATATCAACCTATGCCCTGTTAGACCCGGGATCTACGGTGTCCCTTTGTACTAGTGGGCTCATGAGGGAGCTAGGTATAAGTGGGGTTAAAACCAATTTTTCTGTGCAGACTGTGACTGGTCATAAAATCCAAGAGGGGTTTGAGGTAGCGTTGACTGCAACGGGTGCAGGCAACTCCCTAGTGCTGGATAGAGTTCTAACTGTTGAGCGTTTGCCAAACTTAAAATCGAGTATTCCCAGTGTGCGTGATACTGAATTGTATTCACATTTTTCCCATGTTGATATTTCTGATAATACGGATAGGGAGGTCAAGCTTCTTATAGGCTCAAATGTCCCAGATGCCCATGATGTGTTAGAGGTTAAACGCGGGAAAAGGGGACAGCCCAGAGCGGTGAAAACCTTGTTGGGGTGGACACTGTTTGGCCCAGAGAGTGTTTCTAATTGTGATAATAATTTTGTGAATTTTATTCATTGTGATGATAATATTTTACATCGCCAATTGTGTCAAATTTATGAGCATGATTTTAATGATAATGCATGTGAATCTGCATCCTCACTGTCTGTTGAAGACAAGCGGGCATTGTCTATCATGGAAAAAACTGTTTGTAAAGTTAATGGACATTATGAAGTGGGACTCCCATGGAAGAATAAAGAGGTAAAACTTCCTAATAATCGTACCATGGTTGAGAAACAATTAATGTACCAAAAGAGAAAATTTATTCGAGACCCAGAATTGTTTGAGTGTTATAAGAGCGTGATAAATGATTACTTGGACAATGGGTATGCGAGAAAAATACCTAATGATGAATTGGTGACTAGTGACAAAACTTTTTATTTGGGGCATCATAGTACGAAACAATCAAAATTCCGTGTAGTTTTCAATGGGGCCGGAACTTTTCGTGGGGTTTCCTTAAACGATAATTTATTACAAGGACCAGATTATGCGAATAATTTGGCTGGAGTTCTCTTGAGATTTCGACAAGAAAGAATTGGTGTGATGGCAGATATCAAGGCTATGTTCCATCAGGTGAGAGTGAGGCCAGAAGATTGTGACTCGCTTCGGTTTTTGTGGTGGCCGAATGATGATTTGTCATCTCAAGCAAGTGACTATTCCATGTTGGTACACATATTTGGAAGCCGTTCAAGTCCATCAGTTGCAGGTTTCGCCTTGAGGAAATGTGCTTCAGATAATGAGCCGGGTGTTGAACAATCGGTAGTTGATACTGTGCTGAAGAATTTTTATGTTGACGATTTGTTGAAATCCTTAGCAAAGAGTGGTGACGCTATAAACTTGGTTAAGCAATTGTCTGTTCTACTGGAAAGTGGTGGATTCCATCTGACGAAATTTATCAGCAATTGTCGAGAGGTGCTTGAGCAAATTCCAGAAAGTGAGCGAGCAAAGACTTTGGTGAATTTGGATCTTGATAATCTACCGGTGGAACGAGCCCTGGGGTTATATTGGGATACTGATTTGGATAAATTCGTGACCAAGGTGAATGTGAAAGACAAACCAACTACAAGACGGGGTATGCTTTCTACCATGAGCCAGATATTTGATCCGATTGGATTTCTGCAGCCATTTATTTTGCCTATGAAGAAAATTCTGCAGAAATTATGTAAACAAGATTTGGGGTGGGACGATGAAATTCCTGATGGTGAAAAGGCTTGCTGGATGAACTGGTTGCAAGATTTACCGCATCTGGAAAGTGTTTCTATTCCTCGTTGTTTGAAATCATCAGATATGAATGACCCTAGTGAAATTCAAATGCATTTTTTTGTGATGCAAGTGAAACCGGATATGGATGTGCATGCTATATGCGAATGTTGAACAAGTCTGATGGAACCGTGCATTGCAGTTTTGTTATGGGAAAGTCAAGAGTGACACCTTCAAAACCAGTGACTATACCAAGGCTAGAGTTGACTGCGGCAGTGGTAGCAGTGAAGTTGGGTCAGTTTGTGAAGACTCAGCTGGAGTACAAAATTGATAGAGTAATTTATTGGACCGACTCAATGTCAGTGTTGCAGTATATCACTAATACGACAAGACGCTTTCATACTTTTGTGGCGAATCGTCTTGCTGTTATTCATGAGGGATCAGAGCCTTCGCAGTGGAGACATATTGACACGAAATGTAACCCGGCTGATATTGCATCTCGAGGTTTGAAACCGTATCAGTTGGACAAGGCAAAGATTTGGTTTGAGGGACCTGTTTTTTTGATGAGAGAAGAAAGCCTATGGCCAAAATCAAAACCTATTCGTGGCATATTAAATAATGACCCTGAATTGAAGCAAGATTTATCTGTGTATTGTGTCAAAGATAACTTGAAGGAAAATCCAATCAAGCATTTGCTTTCGAGATACTCTACTTTGGAGAAACTTCAGAGATCGACAGCTTGGCTTTTGAGATATCGATCTTATCTCAGATGGAAGGTGGCTAAATCTCGAGGTGATGGAGATGTCGGTCAGCTGAAAACAGGACATTTTGAGATTTGTGAATTACACTGTGCAATTGATTGCATAGTAAGATTTGTGCAAAGAGAGCAGTTTGGAAAACAAATCGATGCTTTGCATAATCATTCATCTTTGGAAGAAAAGATTGTCAGGACGCCAAAGAAGTCATTATCAAGAAATGAGCAGATGAGATCAATACAGAAACTGAATCCTATTGTTGTGGATGGGATCTTGAGAGTTGGTGGTCGTCTTGATCGTTCACATTTGCCATTGGAAAGTAGATATCCAGTAATTTTGCCGAGTGATAGTTATGTTACTAATTTGGTGATTGACATGTATCATGAAAGAGAAGGTCACAGTGGTACTTTGCATGTTTTATCTGCAATTCGTGAGAAATTTTGGATTATTAAGGGACATGCAACTGTGCGTCGAAGATTGAGCAAATGTTTTACTTGCTGTCGATGGAACTCTAAGGTGGGGGAGCAAGTGATGGCACCGTTACCAAAGGTTCGAGTGACACCTAGTGATCATGCTTTTATGGAAACTGCCTGTGATTATTTTGGACCAATATTAGTGAAGAGAGGCAGGAGTGAGGAGAAAAGATATGGATGTATGTTCAGTTGTATGGCCACACGAGCGGTTCATATCGAGATTGCTAAGTCACTGGATACTTCATCGTTCATAAATGTGTTTCAGAGATTTATAAACAGACGTGGACGACCAAGGAAAATGTACAGTGATAATGGAACAAACTTCATTGGTGCTGAGAGAGAACTTCGTGAAGGGATTCAAAATTGGAATCAAAATCAAATTTCTAAAGTTATGCAACAGCAAAACATTGAATGGTGTTTTTCTGTACCTTTGGCTTCACATACAAATGGAGCATGGGAAAGAATGATAAGATCTTTTCGAAAATTGATGAGAGCAATTGCTGGAGACGACTTTTTTTTACGTTGACTGATGCTCTGCATACATTTACAAACACAGTGTGAAAGCATTTTAAATGGGAGACCAATTTGTCGATTGGAGATAGCCCCGGATTGATTCCGCAACTTTGACGTCCTAATATGTTGTTAACTTGGTAGGGCCTATCCGAATCTACCTCCTTGATCCAATTCATGAAAGCAGATGGATATTAAGTAAGTCGTGGCGCCAGGTACAATTAATGACAGATTTGTTTCTTGGAAGAGTGTTGTTGAACACCGACATATTTGGCCAACATTGGCAGTTGAGGCAAAAAGTGGCACAAGCTCTGTGAGATAACTTTTGCCATTTCGGAGATATTGTTCTCATTGTGGATTGAAAAGACTAAGAAGGATTTCTGGCCCGAAAGGGTTAATCGAGGAAGTATTTCCCTGATTCTAGATGGGGCATGTCGCAGTGTACGTGTGGAGGAACTGCGGATTCTTGTTACATGCGAGACATTCGTAAATTGTGTTTGTTAGAGGGAGTTGTGTAATTTTTGTATATATTGTTTTTCATGTTTTCATTTCGTGAAAATGAGACATGCGTCCTTTTGGTGGTCGGTAATAACCGTGGGGATGTAGACGGTTCTAAGGGGCCGTGTAATGGACGCAGGTCGCATTTTGGTAGTTCTTGTTTATTTCTTTATCGTATTCGAGAGTGGGAATAGTAGCTATGTCGCAATATGTTTGTCTTGCACGCTATTGGCTGAGGGCAATCGACCGACGACGACTCTTGTTCTATAGTTTAGTTTCTTGTATTGCTCTCGGTTCTGCGTGAGCGGAGACGAAGCTGTGATGGTGCAATCTGCAGTCATATGCTTTGCCGGTGTTTTAGGATTTAGTTGAGTGTGTTTTGTAGTTAGTAGATTTTGCTATGTTTATAATGTAGCTAGGGAATCATTATGTTAGGATATAGGATTAGTCAGGGATTTATTGTGTATTAATGTTTACTAATTATTCTGTATTTTATTTAGTTATTTAATCCCGGAATCTATCAATATTTGTAATCAAACTCAGACTCTGACACAAACCCAGTGCTCAGTGTGTTAATCACAAACTCATACAAACTCTGTGCGTGTATTATTGAAATTCAAACTTTAGTTGAGCCACAAACTCTATGTGCATTGTGAATGTTATTGCCGTATTCTGTCGTGATTTCAAGCGGAATATTACAACAAAGTTCTTTCAATTCGTGTGATCTTCTGAGGTGTTGGGTTCAAAAGTTCAAGACTGTGAGTGGGGACTTAATGTTACGAGTTTGCATTGCAAATTGTAGGAGAACCGGGACGTGGTACTTGACAGTGGTTGGGTATAAACGTAGCGCAGTTTGAGTCTCCAATTCCGGGCGTTACATATATAGCCTACTGATAATAGACTGACTGATCGTTCCCCATGAAAAAATTGTAGCTTTTTATTAGTGTAGATGTAGAAGGATCATTCTTACAAGAAGTAGTGTTTAGATAGGTCCGATAGGATTTCTTTCGCTGTATTCCATTAGTCCACGCAGTATTCCATTAGTTTGCATAACATGTCTCTTTGCAACAATTTAGGTACACAACCCAGATTTTAAATTGCGTTTTGAAATGATAAAAAAATTTTTTTTTATGGAATCACTTAATTTTTTTCCGGTTGCAGTTTAAAAAAGAACAATAGCAACAAAATAAATTATAAATCGATATGAATATTTTTACAATTTTAACTTATTTTTTTTTTCTAAGTGGAAGACCCCATCACAGATTTGAATGAGGCTTTAACAAGATATAATGGTGGGTTAAGAGAAGTATTCTGCTTAACAATCTCGTTTTATGTTCAAGCGAAGTCATGGTCAAATTTTTTAGTACTCAATTTTTGCTCCGCTATTTTATGCTAGATTTATTGGTGGTTTATTTATTTGAAATAAAGATTTCATCTGAGTAATACATGACAAGTAACAACACTTGTAACAAACACACTATCGTTTAACTAAAGGGTGTGCAACCTCAATTACAGGCGTGCCAGCTTCAAGTAATTGGGTAAAACCGCGGGCCTCACCTTTCTTTAATATAGCCTTTCTAGTAGTTGTCCTCACAAATAATTGTTTACTATGGCTATGGATATCACAGGTTTGTAAGGGATCCTTACAGAAATGTTGAGTTAAAACGTTGAGTTAAAAGTTGAGTTCTAAAGAGAACTGCTATTCAAATTTATTATTATACCGAATTTAAACGAATTCAGCGAGAAACACATTTTTATAACAATTGTGTATTTTGATAGTCAGTTTTGCTAATATGACAATAGCACTCAGGTACTGGTACAGGCTTTACGACGTAAAAGAATTGGAATTGCTCGCACGTACCAGATTAAAAAATCGTTTTGGGGGCTCATTATTTGAAACTGGCACTTTTTGCGGGCGCAAAATTTTTTCTTGTGAGCCCTCTTTTACTCGCTGGATGCAGTTTGCACATCCCTGCTTTAACGCAATTAAATTTAGATTTAATTGATAGATACATTGGTGTCCTTTTCTTTCTTATGATTGAAACTTTTGAATTTTCAAGAGAGAATATTCAAATTCAACTTTAATGGTAAACTTTGGAACTTGTTTAAAAGTTGAAAAATTTAATGTTAACTATCATTGCTAACCAACAGCCTTTTGACTACGTTTATCAGAAATTTGGAAACTTTAATAAGAGGAAAGAAATAAAATATGTTTTATTTTTCACTTTTAGAAAGTTTGGAATTTCTGTCTAGTATGTTGGACAATATGCTGGAAGTTTACGAGTCAATTTTTCGAAGAATTTGAAATTTGAGATACTCAATAAACTATTGGCGTAACAGGAAATTGGATTTCAAATTTAACGTACAGTTGTATTCATTTTAATCTCTCCAGTCTAGTTTTGAAATTAAACATTAAGATTTAATAAAGTTTCTGCAGAAAATTGTTATATTGTGTAACAATTTATAGGGTGTGTTCAACCGAATAGGTGTTTGTATTAGAGTATTCAGACATATTTATCAACTCAAATCTACAATTTAGCAGTACTTAATACTTATTCATTAGATAAAAAAAAATTTGATTCAAGCGGTGCTATATATAAAAGTAGGCAAAGATCTAATCTATTAATTAAATAAATCAAAAACGGACTCTTTAGTTAAATATATTTTTTACATTTCATTGAAAAATATTCTAATGTTTAATTTTGATCAATTTTCACACATCGCGGTGTATGTTAAATTGATGGGAGCCGTGGTTAAATAGAAATCAAAAAACAGAGTTGAAGGGGATTCTACATTTACGTGTTGAGTGGCCGACTATGTTGCTCATTAATTAGCAATAACGACTAGTAGTATAAGGAAGGTTTTGTCTATTTTAAATGATAGCAATGATATTCTACGTTTCTTCTAATGAAAATTCAGCATATAGGGGGTTTCCCGCAAATATTAGGCAGCTTATTTTGATAGCTGTGTATGATTTTCATTAGGAATTCCAGTCTCCTGTGAAAAGGTAATTTGTTTGAGATAAAATGGATATGCCAGACTTGTTTATAATGCTAGAACGCGTAGAGCGCTTAGCCTGGTAGATGAAACTAGAAGGTTGTTCGGACTGAAAGTGAATAACCAGTACAAACTATGTAATATAATGGGAAATTTAGAAGGGATTAAACGGATATTTACTACATTCTAGCACTGTTTCAAAGCGTCTATACATGTCGTAAGATGTTCCATGTAATGAACGTGAAAACTGAAATTGACGACAATATTTGCTCTTGAATCAGAGTTTTTCCATTCATTTTTGAATTGATCAATTTTTACAGACTGAGCCAGAAGTAGAGTAACAGTTATCGGTAATAAAATAATTTAACAACTGTTACCCTAATTTTAGTTCTTCCAGTATATATATATAACTTTCCACAGATGTTCTGAAAAACATCTTTAGATGAATATCAAATTCACGCTTCTCTTCAAACACTTGGTTCGGTTTAATAATTGGGACTTGTGTTGACAAAAATGCGCTCCAATGTCATCTTCAAATATATAAATATATTTTATTTTTCAGTTGTTCAAAAATCGTTTATCGAACAAAACCTTTTTAAAAATAAACTGTCGAATTAGAAATTTATACATCACTCTCATAATTATAAAGGAGAAACAATTTACTGGCATACCTTTACTCAGAAGAATGGCAAATTGATAGATCGCATCCTTCTTGAGTTGTTACTTTACCCGCCTCAAATAATTGATAATTAATAGGTCCGACTGATGAATATGATTTAAAAGCAACCGATATAAACTGAGGAAGCGGTGTGCAATCTGCGGCCCGTGGGTCAAATGCTGCCCATAAGTAAAAATTGTGAGGCCCGCGGAGAAGTGGCAATTTTGAATGGTGTAGGGCCACTGAATCGAGTTTGTAATTTATTTTAATCTGTTACGTGCAAGAAATTCCAATCCGTTTACGTAGCAAAGCTTATATACCGGAGTCCAATTTATTATCTTATGCCTATGACGTTACAATGCCCTAACAACTAACTAGCTTATGCGAAGCGACATGACAACACGTGTCATAAGATAAAAACCCAATTTTATGTGCCTGCAACTAATAGAAAATTTAGGAACCTTTGTTATTCCAAAAATTTTTATTGGTAACATTTCCTCGTTCAATTGACTGTAATGTTCTCATAGATATTACATAAAATAATATAGAAAGAATTAAAAGTTTTACGTTCATGTTTATTATTATTTTGACTACAATTGCTCTAACCGAATTTAAATTAAAAATAATCTTTGCCAAACAAATTGATCCAATTCCGTTGCCACAATTTCTAATGATCCTATGCATATCTTCACTGCTCTTTGAGTATTGAGTCAATCTCTCTATTAAATGCAGTCATTGATGTTGTCACAATTAGAGCTTGAGCTAAATTAAATTCATAAAATGAGAAGACATTAAATACAAATTCTTGCTTTTTTGATGCTTTTTTGTGAAATGCAATATTGACATATGACTCTTTTCATTCA